TCTTACCCTCCTTGTTAACTTTGGGTTTGTTAACAGAAGTGTCAATTTGTCATTGATGAAAAACAACAGTTTGTTCAAATTCCACTACAGTGCTATAGCCGCTATTTGATAACACCTAATACTAAATAGCATACTGCGGAATAGTAGTATTTGTTAAAATTCCATTGTGCTATATTGCCTCTATAACCGCTAGTTGACAACACTCTCTGTTGGTCCTTTGTTAACAATTGAGATATGTTATCTTTATGCAGGTACCTAAGCTTCAATAACTTCAAGGGTGAAATTCCCAAGGAGCTTGCAGATCTTCCCGACCTTCGCTACCTCTATCTTCATGAAAACCGTTTGATGGGAAGAATACCACCAGAATTGGGCACTCTACAAAACCTTCGTCACTTGTAATTTTCAAATCGTTTTTAGAATCTTGTACTTTTAGAGGATAATATTTATATCTTAACTCAATTGCCTCGCTATATTACTGTCATGTTTATAGGGATGCCGGTAACAATCATTTGGTGGGTACCATAAGGGAACTCATCCGTATTGACGGTTGCTTTCCATCACTACGCAATTTGTAAGTTCTCGTTTGTCTCGACTCGTAACATTGCCAAATGATCTTAAATCTGCCTTTATCTCTAAATATTAACAAATTTATTCTGCAAACCAGATATCTAAACAATAATTATTTTACTGGAGGAATACCTGCACAACTTGCTAACTTATCCAGTCTTGAAATCTTGTGAGTATTCATTTTTTACTGCATATTTTCTTCCTTCTCTTTACAACTGTTTTAACAGGGCTGTCAAACACGATTTTACCGTGTCAAGATCTATTTAGCTTGAAATTTTCATAATGCGATGTTTGTCTGTTGGAGGCAGGTACCTGTCCCACAACAAAATGTCGGGAGTCATACCATCTAGCGTTGCTCTTATTCCTAAATTGACATACTTGTAAGTTTTTCACTCAATGTTATGTTTTTGATAGTTTACTTGGATCATTGGAATATGAATTATCAACTTCAAGATTTTCTAATCTCTTATTACAGGTACTTGGATCACAATCAGTTTTCAGGGAGAATTCCTGAAGCGTTTTACAAGCATCCATTTTTGAAAGAAATGTGAGTTTCCTACCTTTGAGTAAATCATACATTCTCTTGTGTTCATTGAACTGAACAATCTTATCATATGGTATTTGGCAGGTACATCGAGGGAAACGCGTTCCGGCCTGGTGTCAATCCCATTGGCTTGCACAAAGTGCTTGAAGTTTCTGATTCAGACTTCCTTGTTTAATGAAATCATGTCTTTATTTTTTTTTCTGAAAGTCATAGTTCCTGTTATTATTTCAATGAAATAGCCAAAATAGGTGTTTCAATTTTTGCCAAATCTATGTTGTCACAATCAATAAACAATAGTTTTTTTAAGTTTATTATTTATGATCTTTTCATGTATTTAGGAAGTTCATTGTACTATAGATATAGTTATAGTTATGTACTCTTTATTTCAAATTTAAAAACAGAGGAAGTATAATACTACCACCTTAAATATACTGTAATATCATTTGAAGAAAAAACTTGTTCTTATCATTTCTATTTCAAATTTCTAGATATGTTTGCTTTTAAAAAAAGTACCTATATATGTTTATTATTATTTTCTTCAAAACATACTCATTTTTAATACTAAATGTTTTTTGATAGATGAAAAGGCATAATTAACAATTTTGTAATAATCTTGCACAAAATATATACATTAATTATATCACTAACTTTATTGTTGTATGTAAAAAATGTGAATATTATAAAAACAAAGGATAGATTACATTTTAAATAAAAAATATAAAGCTTTACGTTAGATCAAAGATGAATCTTATTGGAAAAGGGACTCTCTGCAAGCTATATTAATAAGTGGAATAACAATTTTAATAGAAGCTACTTAAAACTAGAATTTCTATTGATTACAGTCTAACTGCATATGCATTTTCTCCAAAACTGTGTGTATTTCTTCCATTAGTGGATGTGTTTTTTCGCCCGCAATGAACTCACTTACAACGCCATCAATCTCTACTGAGCTACAACCCGGTGTCTTGTTTGCTCCTTTGATTTTCATCATATCCCTCACCCTTCTAGCATCACTATGTTTCCCAGATGCTGAATACAAATTAGAAAGCAAAACATAGACTCCACTGTGAATGTTATTATCCAACTGCAACACCTTTTCAGCAGCAAGTTCAGCTAGTTGAGTTTCTCCATGGTTACAACATGCACTCAGGAATGCTCTCCAAGTCAATGTCACTTCAGAGCCATTCAAAGATTTGGTAATTTTTCTTATTATAACCATTGCTTCTTCAAAAAGCCCTGCTCTACTAAGTAAATCAACTAAACAGCCATAATGTTCACTTTTTGGCTCAATGTTGTGAACACTTAGCATTCTATCCAACAACTTCAAACCTCCATGTGCCATTCCTGAGTAACTACAAGCAGTAAAAACAGCAATAAATGTTATATCATCAGGTTTCATCCCAACTTTTTCCATATCATAAAACAGCTGGAGTGCACCTTTCCCATCTCCATGCATTGCCAAACTAGAAATCATAGCATTCCAACATACAATGTCTCTCTCTTGCATTGATTTGAATAATCTTTTCGCCGTTTCCAAATCCCCACATTTAGCATACATGTCTAATAAACTAGTAATCAAACGAACACTGAACGGAACAAGCTTCGATTGTTTCAAATGTCGATGAATCCACACACCAATATCTGAAGCTCCAAGATGAGCACAGGCAGAAAGAATGCTCACAAATATAGATTCATCAGGTACTATATCCGTAAGCTGCATCAATCGAAACAAATAAAGACTTTCTTTAAAGCAACTGTTTTGTACATAACCAGAAATCATAGCACCCCATATACCTTTATCTTTCTCAGGTGCTTCATCAAAGAACAACCTAGCTGAATCAACATCACCCACTTTTGCATATCCAGAAATCATCACACTCCAAGAAAATGCACTTAAGCTAGGAATTTCATCAAACACGTACCGTGCAGCTACAACATCACCCAAAACACAATACATTGCCATCAAACTATTACCCACAAAGATATCAAACACAAGACCCAATTTTGAACCATACCCATGAATCATTTTCCCCAAAGAACAATCCTGAAGTCCTGCACAAGCCTTCAATACATAAGGTACAGTGTAGTTATCAGGTCTCAATCCACTCTGAAGCATTTTAACAAACACATGGAGGGTGCTTTTGAAATTGTTATTGAGGAGAAAAGCTTTGATGATTGTGTTGTATATACAAACTGTAGGGTTCTGAATTCGTTCAAAGACTCCACAAGCATAGGTGAGACTTTCATGATGATGTTTGTGTGATGAACAGAAAGCTAAAATTCTGCTTAGAGCAAAGCTATTGTTTTCAAGGCCTGTTGTGAAAATTTGTGCATGTGCTTGTTTGAGATGGTTCATATTCTTGCATTTTTCCAATAGTACTAAACATCTTTTGGTGCTACTTGACATGAGAGTTGGGAATGAAACTACATTCAAAATCAAATTATCATATTCATCTATGTTTTTTTCTAGCAAATTCGATTTTGACACTTGTGTTTGATTTGACTTTAAAAAATTTATTTTTTTCTTAGTATTTTCAAAAGATAAAATAGGTGATACCAGATAAAATCAATCACTATCGTATATCGCGTCAAATTAAAATACAATTTTTAAGTTATTGATTTGACATGATATAATAATATATTTTATTGCTATGACATGACATAATATTTTTTACACTCTTAATGTTTTTCTGTTAAACTCTTTTTAAAAATAATTTTTATAACAATATTTTTCAAAACCTTAAATTTTTTTAAATTCATTTTTTTTATAAATAAGACTAATTTTAATATCTCATAACATAATTATATATTATTTAAAATTAAAATATAATCAAAATCATAATTTAAAAAAAATATTTATTTTAAAATCATTTTTATAAAAATTATTTAAAATAGTTTTAAATTGATAGAATTTTTTTGACACAATATGTATAAGAATATAGGTAAAATATTCGTTTTGATTTATTAACTATGTCATTTGATTTAGATTGATTCTTTAATTTTTTCGTGTCTTGTTGGTCCATTAATTTCTAAATCGTTTTATCTTAGTGATATGAAGAAAAAATTAAGGGATATCTGAACCAAAGGTATACTTAAGGGATCAAAATATATATTTTGCCAAAAATATATGAAAAATTAGGTTAATATAGAAATATAAGACAAGTGAACAATAAGTTGTGTCGCTACTCTTTTTTTAATTGCAAAATCAATCTTCTTAAAAATTACATCTACAAACCTAGGAGATACTACATTGTTATTCATAAGCCGTTAAACTCTCTGTAAAAGATCAACTGCTTCTAGTGTTAAGAAAGCAAAAGTGTGAAAGGGTTTGAAATTTTAATATTTTAAAAAATATTATAATAAAATATTAAAATATTTAAAATAATATTTTAAGAATAAATATTTAAATTATTATTTTTTTAAATTCTTATAAAAAAAATTTTAACAAAAATATATTACACTATAAAAATTAATTTAAAACAAAGGTAAAACAAATTTGTCAAATATCTAATAAGCTAGTATATCTTATTTTGCAAATTTTATTTTTAAAAATCAAATTTTATTTTATAAATATTAATTTTTCAAACAAAAAAAAACCACAGTTAGCTGTTCAAATCAGGTTTTTGTTACGAAAATTTAAATATGTTTCTGATTTGTTGCATATATTTGATTATCCTGCTTTAATAATTACTATTTAATGATAGATAATATTAAAACTAATTATATTAGATAAATTAAAAGTAAGGTGTATACGAAAAGATAAGGATTTTATTTGATTTTGACAAAAAATAAATAAATAAAAATTCTCTATCTTTGAAGTTTAACTATATAAATATGGTGTATACGAAAAACCAATTTATTTCTTTTGTCATCCTCGTAAAATCAATTCATGGATTACGACTTTAGCCTAGAAATAATTTCAATTCAACAACCAACCTTTACAATCCCAAAACATGATCCTTTTAGTAACAATTTCTACATTAATTTGAATTGCACCCAAACTAATTATCCCTTGCATATCAATGCCTCAAATTCAACCTTTGATTTTATGACCAAGGTGAATCGAACCTTGTTGGTTCCTTGTGATATCTTATGTAAATGTAATGAAGTTACAATATTAGATGAAGCTGCCAATATTTTCTTATATGACTCTTTTTCTTCTGTGCCTATTTCTTCTACCATATTAAAAGAAATTCTACCTCATCTTGGTGAATATGCTAGGGAGATGATTGCAGACAATGATGAAGGTCATAATATGTGGGAATTAGATGTGACACTTGATGTTATTACATGGTATAATGAAGATCGTGATGCTGTGGTATCCCTATTTAATGTGGATATGTTGAAAAATGTTGGAATGGATGATTCTTTTTGTTACTCTACAAATCAATGTCCAATTTGTTTGGAGGAATTCTTAGATAGGTCAAATTCAAAATTAGGATATGTTGTGACAAAATGTTTACATATTTTTCATAGGGAGTGCATTTTTCAATGGTTCAAAAGATGCATGAATAGTGGTTTACCCTACTCATGTCCATTGTGCCGTAATCATCAAATAATCTAAATGTTAACCAATAAAGGACACTTCATTAATGATTTTGTTACAACATAGTTAACTTTCAGTAATGTATTTTGTTCCAACATAGTTATTGTTATTTAATTCTGTTACAACATAGTTAACTTTCAATAATGTATTTTGTTCCAACATAGTTATTGTTATTTAATTCTGTTAGGTAAAAATAGCGGTTAGTTAATAATTTATAGTTTATGTTTGATAATTGATGATTGATAGTTTATAATTTATAATTGATGTTGATGACTGATAGCTGATAAGTTAATTAAAGTATTTGATAAAATAAATAGTTCAACTAACTTATAAATGTAAAATGAGATAAAAAAATATTTAATACATAATTATTTTATTTTAGATTAAAATAAATTATAAAGGATAAAAGTGAGTTTTTGTTAAAATAATAAAGATAAAAATAGAAGAAAAAAAGATAAACTATAAACTAAAATACTATTTGAAATATCGTCTAGAAAATAAGTTATAAACTAGTAAAATAAGTTATAAATTCGTGATGAAAAGACCATTATCAAACATGTCTAAATTATCATACGAACATATAAGTTATAAGATAAAAAATGTGTCTTACTAAACATAACTTTTTTTTTGACAAATATAACTTAAATGTACATGAGCCCAACCTTAATGAGTTAAGAGTTGAATCAATAATTCTTCATTTTATTTTTTCTTGACAAAATATCTTTTTTAGTTCATTAACTTTATCTCGGGGTACATTTTGGTCCTATAAATTTTAAAAAGATCAATGTAGACCTTTATGTCTTCAAACATCGTCATTTAAGTCTTTTTTGTTTAATTTTTACAAACGGCGTTTATTTTTGCCCACGTGACATCTGATGTGACACTTGTCAATACACGTGGTAGCTGTTAATCATCAATGCCATTAAAATTCAAAGGAAAAATTTCAAAACTTTTGCTTAAGCTAGGATTTGAACATGAGTCTACTTTGTTGCTTCAAAGGATAATTTACCACTAATCCACTTTACACTTGATGTTTTAAACTACAAATACAATATATATATATATATATATATATATATATATATATATATATATATATATATATATATATATATATATATATATATATATATATATATATATATATATATATATATATATATATATATATATATATATATATATATATATATATATATATATATATATATATATATATATATATATATATATATATATATATATATATATATATATATATATATATATATATATATATATATATATATTTGTTTAAATATAACTTTCATTCTCTCCTCCCAAAATCAAACACATACTCAAGTTCCTTTCTTTTTCTGGACGGTTTTGGTAGACCATATTATTTTCGACGCTCTTGTGTTGGTTAAGTTTATTTCCTTTCCTTTTCTTTTCCATTCTTAATTACTAATGATATCATGATAAATTCTAATAGTTTTGTTTGTGCTTCTATGGATAATTTTTTTTTACTGATTCAAGTTTAATGAAGAGAATGTGTTTGTTGTTTTGTTGCAAAGAATGGGTATACCAGACCATGAAAGCTAATAACCCTATGTTTTTGGATCATTCACTCTCATATCTTAATTTATTGAAAACCTTTGGTTCAAAAAAATGTTCCAAGTGTTTTATTATATGCAAATTAAGATAGGTTCCAAATGAAAGGTTTTGATAATCATCAGTAATTATGGATAAAAAGTTAATTATCTGGCGACAAAAATATTTATGGAATTTTTCTCATGGATTAACTTGAGTGGTGTTTGGATAGATGTTTAGAGAAATCCGCAGTAACTTTTGGTTATCGACGACAAAAAGCAACATCATCGCTTCCCTTCTTTGGTTTCTTTGTTTGTAGTATATGCACACTTTGCCTAACTTCATCATGTCTTCAAAGTTCAGATCTTCCCTGCCACTTCGATCCAAATGCGGACAGACTACAACACAAGGTTAAACTCTCAATAATTCAAACGAAGCTATAATATTGCATACTAGGTGTTTATTAAAATGCCCAAACGAAGATGTAATAATGCTTTTTGCAAGGGTTTGATTCTGTATACTACTATTTAAATTCTCTATATTTATTCAGGTTTTGTTCTTATGGAAATTGGTTTGGTTCTCATCCATTGTCATCGTTATTCAAAACAAACTGCAATTGATTAATCTTTTAATACAAAACGAACTGCAATTATTATATTTACTGCATCGGTTGAAGTATGTCATATTCTAATTTTGGTGCATATATTGAATTTTAAATTAGTTACTTTTACTTTGAATAAGAAATTTATCAGCAACAATTGTTTGATCATGGAATCTTGCAGACTTCTTTTTAGGAAGTTATCCTCTTTCAACATAGAGAATAATATATAGAACAATATCAAAAAGAAGAATGTAATTATATATCAGAGTTGAAATAAAATGCATCTATAGCATATTGGCTTAGTGGTACACTCTATTGTTTAGGAACTAAGGAGACTTGGGTTTGATTCTTAGCTCAGGCCAAAAATAGACGCTGTTTGTTAAAATTAGACGGAAAGGACTTAAATGATGCTGTTTGAAGACATAAAGGACTATATTGGTCTTTTTAAAATTTAAGAGACCAAAATGAACCTCAAAATAAAGTTAAGAGACTAAAAAGGGTATTTTGCCTTTTTTCTTTTTAGTTTTTTTGTTAAGATCCATTTATCATGAGTGAATCAACTTTTGTTTCTCTCATATCAACATGGTATCAGATAGTAAGATTACTTTGATATCCTCCATTTTATTTATCTATTCATATCACTTTCTTATTGGCTCCCCAAATTCCATCATAATCCTCAATTCTCTTTCTTGCATGTTCTTCAATCAAATTGAGTCATTTGATCACTATCTTCCTCTCTCTCTGTCAAAACTTATCTTAATTTTTCTCTATGATTCTTTCTTTCTTCACCTTCATATCTTTTAACAATGGCGATAATTAATGGTTCCGTTGAAGATTCTTCCCAATCTTAACCCATTACACTTCCTAGAACATCCAGCCCACCTTCATCTTCCACCATCGAACCCTAAGTTATCTCAGATTTGAACGAAAACCCTATATGTAACTACCAAAATGACATATTGAATCCTTTCTTCATGTACCCTAGTAATAAACCAACCCTACTTTTGGTTTCCCCATCCTTGAATAATACTAACTTCTATTCTTGGTCCCGTTTTTTTAAAGTATCCCTTCAACCCAAAAATAATTTAGGGTTCCAATTTTTCCTACCATCTCCAATCACAATCAAATTGTATGACATATCTGCAACACAATGGTGATGTCATGGATCACAAACTCCATAGAAAGCAAAATATCTGAATGTATATCTTGGATGAACACATATTTTAAAATCTGGCAAGAATTTTGTGAAAGGTACCATAAAGTTGATGTCTTTCGTATATCCGTAAAAAAATGAGATTTGAATAAACTAAAATCATGAAGCTTTATATTGTCTCTGTCCAAATTGATTTGAATCACAATTTTCACTTGATTTGAATATAAGCTTCAAGACCCATTTTTCATCCTTGATTTAAATAGATTTTTCTTTGATGAAAGTAAAAAATGACTGAAACCTATGGAGAAACACATAAAAACAAAGAGTGATTTTGTCTTCTATTCTTAGTGTGTCTATACCATCACCATTATTCTTTCTCTTCTTCACTAGAACAACTTATTGATTATGAATTCATGTCAAATTCATTCTCTTTTTTGTTGAATCTTGTTCTTGTGCAATTTGTTGTTGTATTGAGTGAATTAGAAAGGGGGAGTTGATTAATCCTAATGTGTTGTTCATGATTAATTAATCTTTTGATAACAATCAAAGCCAAAAATCATACACCTATAAACATGATAGAACCTTGCGTGTGTGTGTTATTCATTCACTTTCATCTAAAACCCTTGACTAACACCTTGTGTTTGTGGATTATTTGTGAGATATTTTGGCGTTGTTCATCATCTTCAACCTTAGTCTCGTTCCATTGTTGAGGACCTTCATCTTTAAGATTAAGTGTTGAGGAAGACTACTGGTACATTAGGATATCTAATGTTTTTGTTTGAAGTTTGATATTTGTAACATGTGCATGTATCATTTCTTAAATGTTGTTTGGTGTTCGTTGTTATTCATCAACAATAGAGTTTTCATTATACTCCAAGTAAGAATTTGGCGAGATTTAGTATCAATTGTTCGTAATACGGAGATAAAAGTTGTCCATCTTTGGTGGAGTTGGAGAAATATCACGCAGAGAGAAAGTTGGGAGTTGTCCAATCAATGCTTGGCTATGACAATCGCCTAGACAAGAGATTGATGGGATCAGGTGGATTGCCACATATAAATACTCAGAGCATAAATATTGTGGATAGCAAGGTTATTGGGTCAAGATCTTTTAGAGATCTTATTTTTGTTCGCAATTGAGTATCTGCATCAACAAAGAGAATTATAGTTTGATAGTTCGTTGTAACCACTAACCAAAATGCTTATAATCAAACTTATCAAAATAGTGGAAGATCATGATTATTTTCCATTAGTTTTCAACATCATTAAAGAGTGGAGTTGTCAATGCAAGGAAGATAGTCGAACCACTATATATCTTTGGGTATCTTTTCTTCTTCCTTATTTTAATTTTCTAGCATTCATCATTGTGCTATTGCATCATTACATTGATTGTGTGCCACATAAGTTAGACTTTTCTTATATAGATTTAATGTATAAGCTTAGGTATGTGATGTATACGTCTAATTGAAGTATCACAAATTCAATTTTGTCTTGTTAGAACATATATGCTAAGTGTTTTAAATTAACTTTATTTAAAGCTACTTGAGTAGTCTTATGATTTAATTTCATTATAAGTAATCAAATGTATAGTGAATATCATGTGTTATTTTATATGACTTAATTTATTGAGATGCTTCAAGTCTCTCTTGTTTTTGTGTTTTACTTCTACGCTTCTTAAATCTCTGATTTCATACATGAGACCTAAAATGTTTTTTGAAATTACCTTAAAGCGAAAAGGGTCTATTCAAACCCCACCTTATAGAACTTTTTGTGTCCATATCCTCACCTAACAATTAGTATCAGAGCAGGTCTTTTGATCAAAGTCTTGTGACTCCAAAAGTTGAGGATATGGTTTCTTCGATCTTAGACGAGTTTTTCTAATCATTTGGAAGCGTGTACAATTCAATGAATTACAATACAAGTAAGTGTGTATTGTCAGTGCTTCGTCGTGGACATTATGATATTTCAATTTGAGGTGGACTTGGGATGCCACTGTATCTAAGGTCGCTGTGAAGGGTCTTACTAAGATGAATTTGCAGACGTTTTTGCAAGGGACTACTAAAAATTGAGAATTGATTGTCCTGGAATCTCGCCTTACCCCGAAGATGACCATCAACTCAATGTACCTCTAAGGACAAGGTGTTGTATCGTTGAAGACTTGCAGGTCGAATTCTTCATAGTGCTATAATTTTTATTTTTTTCAGCCCCATTTGCTCAAAAATGTTTGAGTAAATAATGTCACATGAATTGCTTCCATCAATAAGCACTCGGGTGACATCAAAGTCACCTTGATGAAACTATTACATGGATTTAAAAAATGAAAGAGTCTGGAGTACTTCTTGGTTGGATCTGGATTGAACATGATCTTGTTGTGAAAGATTAGACAAATATGCTATCAAAACCAAATTGTCCACTATTTGAGGAAGAGTAAGTGGATCTTTGACACCTTCAGCAACAACGATAACATGCAGTTGAATGGCAGAACTAGTGACTTTGGATGCCACTATAGTTGATGGATTTGAAGAAGGGTATGGTGGAAAGGAAGTTGATATTAAAATAAAGTTATCAAGGAACAAATATCTAAACTTTTAACGTATAAGATAAGAACGTCTAATGGAGGAGATGTGAACTTCTAACGGATGAGTTTTGAACTTCTAAAGAAGAAGATCTTAAATATGGAAATGCACATGAATCATATTATATTGACCCTAGAAGACACCATTGTTCCCTGATAGAACTAGAATTGAGCATTGAATGAGGAAGTATAACTTATTACGGTGAATTGAGATTCTGATGTGGTGGGGAGGGGGTTGATTTACAAGGTTATCACTCTAATGTCCAAGTCAGTAAGAGAGTGAAAAGAGATGTGCGAATGAGAGTGGACTCGAATACCTAATAAATGACTCCTCTTAAATGGTGAAATGGTTAACAACGAAAAGCTGAAGTGAGGCATGGATCATGGTCAACCATCAAATTGATATGGTCAACAAAACTCTAATGGGAAATTTTTTCTATTTTCAGGGAAAAATGTATACCTATTCTGCACATTTGACCGCTTCTGCCATATAAATGGGCCTTTCTCTTAGGCCTTGCCAACGACCTAGAACACATATGAAAAGGGGAAGAATTCAAAATTAGATTTTATGGAGATCTATTGATTCATGTTTAACCATGTGTAAACCATCACCAATCTCCCGGTTTCATTCATGTTGTACACTAATAGGACCCATTAAGAGAAAAAGGTCCAAAAGGAGAGAGAAAGTGCTGAGTTGGAAAGTAGTTAGAGGGAGTGGGGAAGTTACATGTGAATTGGTTAGAGATAGTGGGGAAGTAACTCGTGAGTTGGTTAAAGAGAGTGGGGGAAGTTGTATGTGAAGTAATTATATGAGGCCTGTGAGAGGGAAATAATGGATTATTCATAATCATTTGTATTAAAACTTTAGGGTTGGGAAAAAGGAGGCTTCTTCTTTCTTTGAGGAGCTTTGCTCAGGGATTATAGGGAATTTATTCTTTGTAATAGTTTCTTTTTATCATTAATAATAATTTTCTATTATATTTTGAATTGGGTTCCTAACAATTGGTCCGACTTATCAGATCTATCGAGGAAGAGCCAGTGATGTCAGAGAAGTTACTTCCCATTTTTTTATGGAACTGGAGACGGTTACTGGTGGTTGATCCAATTGGATCAGTACTTTGAAGTCAACAATTGGATTCATGAGAAGATTAAAGTAGACTGGGTGACTCTGTTTGCTTTGAGAGGAGAAGCTTCCTTATGGTGGTCTTTTTGGAAGCAAGACAACCATAATGCAACTTGGAAGAATTTTGTAAGAGACTTTATTAAGAAATTTATCCAAGATCTGTGGGATATGTTTCAATTTGCAGAAGGTGAGGAACAAGAGAGTGAGAATCACATTTTAAATGAGATAACAAAAACAATGAGTTAAAGGATGATTGTGATAAACCGATAATAGAGGAAGTCGATACATTGGTCAACATAAGTAATGACGAAAAGGAGATCACGACACTTACTGATAACCAGAGAGAAACTAGCATCAAAGAATTAGCACCCGAAATTAAGAAGATGCCCAAAATTAAGAAGATGCAGGAACCACTACAATCAATGGTGAAATCCCCTTGTACGAGTATCACAAGAAGTAGGGCTTTGAGAGAATTCAAGGTGTGTGTAAAATCGGAAAAGTCAAAGAAGATAATGTTACCAAACTCAATGGTGGAAAGACAACGTGCACATAGATAAGACTTACGCCACCATTGAAACCTTTGCATGTCGATCGACCTGTAACAGTACTACCACTGTGAGTCCTGCGATCCACATCGATCAAAACAGGTCCAAGATACACAATACACTCTTCAATGACAAAAACATTAGAGCCTCTGAATGCTATACAAAATGTGAAAGTTCCAATACAACAAGAACCATGTAATAATGAGTTTTTTGTTTCACCCACAATGATGACGACGGCAAAAAAATAAATCTCAGATAAGTGGGTAGATTACATGGTTGTTTTACATGGGAAGATTTGATCCTCAAGCAATTGGGTGTTGCTTAATTTGGTATACGATAGAGGGAAATTTTGGTCCTCAAGTTTTTTGTTGCAATTGATGTCCAATCTCAGTGTTTTCAATGGCTCGATTCCCTTTGTTTCTCAAGCAGACTGAATGATCTCCTAGCAGCATCAAAAAGAGTAATAAAAACCACTTTCAACCTTGAGGAAAATGTTGTTTATAACATGGTAGCATTAATAGGACCCATTAAGAAAAAGAGGCCCAAAATGAGAGGAAAAGTGTTGAGTTGGCAAGTAGTTAGAGAGAGTGGGGAAGTTACATGTGAATTGGTTAGAGATAGTGGAAAAGTAACACATGAGTTGATTAAAGAGAGTGAGAAAGTTGCAGGTGAAGGGATTATATGAGGTCTGTGAGAGGAAAATAGTGGATTATTCATAATCATTTGTATTAGAACCTTAGGGTTGGGAAAATGGAGGTTTCTCCTTCCATTGAGGAACTTTGCTCTAGGATTATGGGGAATTTATTCTCTATAATAATTTCTTTTTATTATTAATAATAATTTTCTTTTATCTCTTGAATTGAGTTCCTAACATACACCATCATCTTCGTCCAGATTCATTCGTAGAGGTATTTGGTTTTGTATGAGTTTGATCAATTCTTGGTTCGTAGAAGTGTCTTCGTCTTTTTTATTCGTTCCAGTTCGATTTTAACTTTGTCTGGTTCGCCTTCGTTCTAGTTCTTGAGTCAAACACATAAATAAAATCAAATTAGATGTTGAGCATGACGAAATCAGAACAAAACATATAGAGCTTAAAAGGAATCAAACTTGAATGAATTTTTCTGTTGTGATAAAAAATAGGGGTGTTCAAATCCAAACCAATCCAAATAAAAGACCGAAAATCGATCCAAAAAATCGAAAACCGTAAAAAACCAAAATTTATTGGATGTGTTTGAATGTCATTTTGTGAAAACCGATTAGTTCAGATCGAATTTCGAATTAATTTTTCAAAATCGATCCAAACCAAACCGAATCACGTACATATATATATTTATACTTATTTACTTTTTATTAGTATGATATGTTATATGAATTTATTATTAGATGATAATTTTTTTTTAATAATATTTATTAGCTTGGTATAATATATTTATTTTTATCATTTCAACCATAATTGATCACTCTCATTTTGTAATATTAACTTTTAATATATTATATGTTATATATTATTTGAAAAAATATATGATTTATTAGTAGTTTTATAATATTAATAAAAATATAATGTGTAATTTGGATATCCAAAAATCAATCCAAATTAAACCGCATAAAATTGGATCGGATCGGATTGGATTTTTTTAATATATCATCCAAAATCGAATCAAACCATAAATAAATTTATTTTTGTTTTAAAACCGATCCAAACCGAACCGCAAACACCCCTAATGAAAAGCTTGATGGGAAGGTGGCACCAATTGTGGATCTAAGATTTTATTGTTGTGGTAAAAAGCTTGATGAGAGGGGAAAATGTTATTTAAAAATGTTATTTTAAAAATGTTATTTAAAAATGTATTTCATAATGGGGGGAGAGATGGTTTTTTTCCCATCTTTATTCCAGGTTGTTTTGACATAGCACTCAACTAGTGATTCTTCAATTCTTCATCGTAAGAAATATGAATTACAAAGAAAAGATCATCAGCTAAGATATATTATACTCTATATTGAAAGCTAAGTCTGCAACAAAGAAAATAATACCTATCTTTCTCCGAAAGGTACTTGAGTTCCAAACCAGTTACCCTATGCAAAGTATATTTAACTTGCTTGTTCTACTCCTCCAAATGATGGCTCCATAAATAACTAACACATAAAGTTTCCTTTCTAAGGTTTCTTCTATTTTAAATAAACACATGCAAGTGGGTAAAATGATGATGATAAAACATAATAGTGAAAGAAAGGAAACATAAGAATAAACTCCGCGCAGAAGAATGGAGAATTTATGGAATCAAATGAGGTTAGTTGTTCTGACTTTTCTTCCTAGACATGTTATTGTATGGTAAACATGCATTGCAAAAACAGAACTAAAGACAGTAAATGATATTCATTAGTTTACAAACTTTACTCGAACAATTTTGTTAGGGGGCAACTTACTGGTACGGATGAGACGAAATCTAATCTTGGCGCCACAAGGGATCAGAAAATACCTATACAGAAAACTCAATCTTTCAAAGGTAATGTTTCTTATCTTTTTCCTCTTACCTTCATTTCTCATAAACTGTGTTGACCATTTTCAGAAGAGAAGAAAAGGGGTCAGAATTGGTTTCGAAAGCAGCTTCCAATGAAAAGAAGTCATGATTTTGACTCTTCCGAAATCGAGCATGCTGCAGCAGTAGCTGCTGCGGCATTCTCGATTAATTTGCAAGAGGCCTCTGAGCAGACGAGTGAGACGCCAGAGACCTCATTGGCCAAGACAAAAAGTAAGCTAGGCAGCTCAAAATCTTCAAAGTCCCTACTTGCTAGTGCTTCCAAACGATTTTCAGGTAAAAAAATGAGCACATAGCACTCCACTTATAAGTAATGATTATCACTGTTGAGGGAAAAAACCCAACAAGTTTGTTAAACTTTGTCTCCGTCATGTTTAGATTCATTTAGATATAAAGATGACCAGGGTGATAAGGTGTCAATATCCTCATCTTCAGAAGAAAAGAAGCCAGAAAAGGCCATTACGCCTGCACCATCAATGAAAAAGGCTTCAACTTTAACTGATAAAAAACCTGATATCCCAACACCAAAAGCTCCTCCTCCTCCTCCTCCTCCAGCAGCACCGCCAATTCAGAAGACTTCAAGTAAACCTAGCCCTCTAAGAGAGACTACAACAGGCACAAACATTCAGGAGACAGATGCCGATGTATGGGAGAGAACCGAGCTGAACAAGATCCGAGAAAGGTACTTGAAAACAAGATTACATTGAATTTCTACCATAGAAACCGTTATAAACCAGAATTAGAATAAATACTATTATAACGAGAATTAGAATAAATACAATCATCATTTGGCTCAGTTTATATAATAATGAAAAACATTGTCAGGTACGAGAAGCAGAAAGAGTTGATAGATTCATGGCAAGACAAGAAGAGGATGAAAGCCAAACGAAAGCTAATTAAGCATGAGGTTTCACTCAGACTCTTATTAGGCTTTATATACCGTATTTTAACCGATCATCAAATTCTTCCTTAGCTAATATCAGATAATTTCTTAGGCTTTGGCAAAATTTGTGTCTTTTTCATTGCTTTTTCAGAGTAAATAACAAATGAGTATGTATGCGATGCGTAAACAATTAGCATTCTAATTTAAACATTATGCATAGGTGATAAGTTTAAACCATAACTGGAATGATAAAAACAATTACAATGGTGAGATAAGAAATTTCACAGGAGATTATAATCGAACCTTAATGGAAAGACTAATCGGGAACTTCTAAACTGCAGAGTGAACTTGAGCGGAGAAGGTTTAAAGATTTGGAAAGTTTTCAAAATAAGATGAAGTATGTAAATCAAGTTGCAGATGGAGCAAGAGTCAAGGCTGATGAAAACCAAACGAATGAAGAGCTACAAGCAAAAGGGAAGGCAGGTGCAATAAGAACAACAGGCAAACTGCCTCGGAGTTATTTCTGTTTCTGAGATCGCCAATTACATAACATCAAAGTGTTAGGGAGGCACATATGTAAATGATTGTTACATAGTGTTATCCATATCTCTTAGTCATCATCATTTACAGTAAAACCATACATGATGCTATAAAAATTGAAAAACAAAACTGTAAGCTTCAACAAATGCATGAGCTGCTACTTGTGTATATCAGTTACAGTTTTTCATGTTTTAAGATTTAGTTTTGGTACGACAATTCGATTATCAACTTCATTTTCAGTCAATGAAAAATTAACCAATAAAATGATTAATCGTGTTCCAAAACATTACTAATAACACCAAGAATATGATTCTTGTCCATTTCTTGTTTCTTCTTGGTATCTCTACCAATTTCTCCACCTCTTCTATAACTCTTTACTTACTTTTCACTTGCCCTTCTTGCTTCAACGATGTAAATCCTTCAAAGACACAACTATCATAGCATGTTATGAATCTCACAATCAGATTTAAAGAGAATAATGCCAGTATAAATTTGGGTCTTCTGGGATACTAAGAACTGAACCAACGTATGGCAGTTACAAAAATAATAGAAAAGAAATAATTAAATGCGCGGCGAATTAAATACGAGGAGAAATTGAAAACCTTAAAATCTAATTGAGAAATAATTAAGTTATTTTTTAGAAAAGAATTAATTGAGTTATGTACAACAAAAACCCTAATTCTAATTATTTTAATCATGAAAAAGAAATTGAAATTAACCTAATCTAGCTAAATTAAATAATTTCAAAAAAAATACACAAAATCTTTTTGTACAAAATATTTTATTTTCTTGAAAGATTCCAAAAAATTGGATTCCAAAGAAATAACACTTCTATTTTGAAAGATTACTAAAGAAGTCAGAAAGAGAGAAAGAGAACTAAGAAAGATCCATTGCCTCTGAATTATGAAAGTTTTGAATTGCCCACACCATCACCACTCCTCTCCAACAAGCTCGAAGAATGGGAACTAGAGCAGATGTCAAAGGTAACCCAGTACTTTTGTCAGAAATGCTGAAACAAATGCTAATCCAGAACTTAATAGGTTACTAATTTAAGCTATAGAATGATGCATCTGGCAATTTGCCTCTCTCTTATATGTATTATCTAAGTACTGTTTTCTACAAGAAACATATTTACTACAAGTTTTCACATAACCATTAGTAATTTTGCATATAAAATTTAAGCATGTAAAGACAGACTTCTTTGTACAATAGTTAAACTTGACTTCAGGAAAAAAAACCAAATTACAACTGACAATCATCTTCAAGTAGATAATATGAAGGTGGCACAAAAAACTACAGAAGAAAATAAATCGTATAAAATACAAAAACCTAAAAATAACAAAGAAACCACCACCACATGGTAGAACATTTAATCCAAAAGTATATAGTGAATTTGTTGAAGCGCATCTGACTGAAGGAGCAAGGCTACATCTTATGATGTTATTTCTCTAATCAATCTCTGGATCGTTGGGTATGCAAAGTACAATATGAGGAACGATGGGATGGCAAAAACAATGGTGAGTAGGAAGTAAACGATTAAAATAACAACACTGCAAGGAATTACAAAAAAGGCTATCAGAAGCAAAGTGATGACCAATGGGAACTTGGATGTAAAGTGAAGGAAGAAATCCAGAGACTTATGAAGAGAAAAATAGTGTCTCTCTCCATCACTGACACGGACTGCGTTGTTAGATCCCGATTGTCCAGAACAATGACTACTTGAGGGCCTTCTAAGGTTACAACTAGTACCTTGAGTTCCCGAAAGGTTGAACTTAGGAGACCAAATTGGTTGGCTGTCGACAGAAGCAGAAACGGCCTTATGCCTATCACCATTCAGGCTCTCAACCATCCAAAGAAGGAAGAAATTTTTGCGAGGAAATTTCAGATTCCCCTTGTAGATGAACCGGAATGACAGTAGGTGGCACCATGGACAAGTAACAAAGAACGGAATCCTGATTTGTTGAGTAGGAAATTTCATCACAGCCCACTGAAGTCCTAGGACGCAATTTTTACAGAGGGTGTGGCCACACCATAAGACATAAGGCACATTCTCAACTATATTGAAGGACTCCCAGCATATTGGGCACTCCAGCCCCTCATCTTTGCTAGCATTAGAGCAGACCTCATCATCCGAGCATTCTGCACAGCTTAGGATCGGCTCCGTGGAGCTTCTTTTCATTCCAATGCTTGTAAGGGCTTGTGATGCGAAATTCCACATCTTTAAAGATGAAAAGTTTACAATGCAAAGGCAGAAGTCACGGCAATATCTGTATATAAGCCATTGTCACACAAATAACTTTCCCACAAAGTTGAGCTCCAGCAGTTAGCTTCCCCTTTAGACTACCAAGCCCTTTCAACCTCAATAAAAATCTACAAAAAAAAAAAAAAAAAAATCTTAATTTTTGTAGAAGTAATTGCTTAAAATAAGTACAATCAATCTGTAAGATGCAAATATGAAAAGAAAAACCAACATAATTTTTAACAACATCCGACATCCAAGACAAGTATACTCATTGCTAGAACCATAAGAAAAGATTCTATGTCAAAATTGTAAGGCCACAAGTCTCTATAAGTTCTAAAGAGCGCATTTTTTTATAGTATTATATTGACCCTCTGAGAAGTATGAGATGTAATAATATATGAATAAATTTGCTTTGAAATTTCAATAAACCAGACCCAGAAAAATTGTTCATAATTTTTTTTAAGGTTATAGCCACTAAAGAGCATCATATATTCATAGCATAGCACAATGCCATAACAAATTTTTTCTCTGAAAATGACATGAAATCAATGAAAAATAAAAAGGAAAAAAAAGACAATTAAAGCATAAAGAAATATTTGTACCTTTGGTTTAGCCTTTTAAAGAGGCAAAAGCAATTCTAGAGGTGTAAAATTGATTCTGGAATGATTTTGAGTTGTTTGGTTCTTCTAAAATAGAATTAATTATGCCTCCGTAATTGATTTTACTTGAAGCTACAATTTGTATCTTTTGAGTTTAATTGTGATTTTTACACAAAAATTTATTGCACAACTCAGTTTTACATAAAAGTATCCAAACATAAATCACTTCACATTCAACTCAATTTTAACCAGAATCAATTCTACAAAATAAATTCACTCAAAATCAATTTTCCTCACCACAAAACCAAACATACGCATAGTTCCCTTGTCCTGAGTAACCTAGGTAACTAGGTCCAATCAACATTACCACAATGCAAAACCATATAAAGTGCTCACATTACCAAGGTACTGTATTCAATTCAAATAAAGGATTACAATGAGGAAAATTAATTACCATGTTTGATCCATAACGTGTGAGTAAAAAAAAAAAAAATCTAAATAGCACATTAACCTAACTCCAATCTAGATAATAACGATCCATTAAAATTTAAACATCAAAATCAAAAACAAATACAATCTGAGATCAATACATGAAGTTATAATAATTGGATTAAGAAAACCTAATTTGCATTAGAATTACAATATTCTCATTTTTCTATCAAATCTAACTAAATAGGAAAATCAAAGATCTAGAATCTAAAATTTGAAGCGAGAATTACAAGAAAAAAATCTTACCGTTAACTAACATGAAGTGTGGAATTCGAGAGCGAATTAGGTTTGAAATTTAGCGATGAATCAGAAAATTTGACGAATCTGAAAAGAACGTGATTTTTCCTCACTCTCTTTTTCTATGGGGAATTGAATGAAGAAGAATGCGGTAATTTATATCAGGGAAAAATGAGAGAAAACGACGTCGTTTTGGGGACAGTTAAGCTAGTTTTTCTTTGGTATGAATGAGGTTGGCATGGCTTAATTTAGGACGAAAGTGATTTTTTTTTTTTTCAGAATAACGCCGGTCAATTATGCGTTTTCCTCGGAGTTCTATTTTTAATATTCTTTCATCACTCTTCAATAAAATATTTTTTTAATAAAAAATATTAGTATATTTTACACATTATATGACAAATTAATGTGACAAAATGTTGTTGAATTTATATGCAAAATAATTATATACCAAAGCACGTACAAATTGAATCTAATTTTTTTAAGAGGAATATCAATCAATGCTCTTGAAAAACATTATCATTAAAAACTATTAATACTATTTTATCAAATAGCACGTGTGTTTTTATACTACCGATTTGTTTTTTATTACTCGTATTTTGAAAAACATTTTTAGACATTTGTTTTTTTCTTCTTGTTAAACAAATGGTAGGCAGTACCACCAGTCCACCCGTGTTCTCGATGGTTGTCATCATGAGAATGACATATAGATCCAACTAAATGGCGAGAATTGTTAATCCATCAATAAGTGTGAAAAAATATTTTATGAAAATTTAAAAGTGTCTCTTTAATTTTAAAAATATATCTTCGAATATGTAATGTATCTCACTCAAACATGTTTTAACTGAATTTTATTTTATATTTTCTTTAAAACTTATTTTGAATATGCATTTTCAGAATAACTCCATATATACTTTCATGTATTTTTTTAATGAAACATTATTTTTTACATAAATTATTTCAGAAATATATTATCGTATTTACATCCGACATAATTTCAGAGACATAATTACACCCGACAATAATTTTTAACATTGATTTAGAGATGATGTTATGAGTTTGACCATATATTAGGATATTTATAACTATAATATCATTTTCAATTTTGTATAAATTAAATCACACAATTTCATAATAATATAAAAATAATATATATATATATATATATATATATATATATATATATATATATATATATATATATATATATATATATATATATATATAGGGGCGGATCCAGACTTTATATATTGGTGTGGCTAAACATAAAAGAAATTATCGACTAAAATATATTGAAAATAAAAAATAATATTGTTTGATGAAGTGTATTTACAATGAAAACCGTCTAGTATCAATTTCTTGAAAATGAGCTAAAATAACATCATTGTTAATTGTTCCAAGAACATCTCTTTCTATAAAAGTTACAAGACGATCATTTAACCATTGATCACCCATTTTGTTACATAGCTGACTCTTCACAAACTTCATAGCTGAAAAAACACGTTCCACGCTCGCAGTTGCTACTGGCAAGACTAAAGCCAACTTCAGAAGCTTATAAACTATATCAAAAGTGTTGCATTTTTTTGTTTCCACAAGTTTTGCACAAAGATCTGAAAGTCCGTTTAAATTTGCAAATTTTGGATCACATCGAACATTTCTAACATAATTCTGAAGCTGATGTCGTACCGCCACTTCCGGCACATCTACAAAATCATTTGGATAAAGTTCAACCATCCTGTTTCCAATAATTTCTGGTAAACAACCGCTAGTCTTCCAAACTATCGAATAATCTTTCTTACTGTTATTCAATCCCTCTGGTAACTCACAGGATCGACTAGATTGATCCTAAGACTCCTTGGATATTAAAGTTACTCTTACAATCGAACAGATATTCATGGTCAATATTGTATAAGTGTTTGGCTTATTTCGATCTCTCTCTAAATGTAGTCAAAATGTGTATAAAAACTAAGTTACACGAATAGATGCTAATTGTAATGCTGAATTGTAAAGACATATAAAACTGCATGAAAATGAAGTAAATGGTTTCGACTTACAAAAACGGTTAACATAAAGGGTTTCTGGAACATAAAGGTTTTAAGAGAAGGAGAAACGTTTAATGCAAGAAATCTATAAATGATTTTAAATAAAAGTATGCGTTCGAAGGGCAAGACTTGAATGTAAAGGTATGGAAAATGTGATGGTTTTCAGAAATATAAAACGCTCGAAACATAAAGATAACATTAAAGTGTAAGATTTTGAGGAAGAGACTTCGAAGTGAAAAGACTGTAGATACGAAACTTGTAAATGTTGTTTGACAAAAAGAATAAAGGAAGTACTGGAAATGGTAAAAAGGTTTTCACTAAATTAGAAATACATGGTGCTATCATACATACATTTCTCTTGCATTCGTTTCCCTTGCCATGTGGTAGTTTGAATGTTATTGAGTATTTTGTATAATAGATATGACACACAGAAATCCTAATATTAAGACTCCTATTTATACTAATTCGACCCTAACGGTCTTGCTATAGGATTATGCCACGTTTCGAACATGCAGGACAATGCTCCTTTCATCTTTCCACGTGTCCCCAAATGCTCCAACACATAACTTTCAAACTTTGAAAGCCCCGCTTCCATTTGAATTTAACATGCTTTGGTGTTTCTCCATTTCGAACGCTTTTTCCCAAACATAGCCTCGCTGTTGTTTTGAGACTCCTTTGGATATGTTCCCATAATTGCCGTTCGAAGCTTCAAGCTTTGACACACTTATTCGAAACACTGCTTCTGCAACTTCGAAATATGGCGTTTAATTCCATTTCGATCAGAACTTTTAACTCTTTTGGCTTCTAAATAACATTATCAAAATCTTCAGCCAACAAATTGCCCCTTTAAAATATGTATTTCGATTTCTTTGAGAAATACCTATTTTAAACATTTACACAAGATTTTGATAGGACTTTCGAATCATCGTAACATTTAATGCCTTTGACTCCAGTCACATCAATCATAACACCTTTTGGATTCCTTAACCGCCCGGAGTCACTTCACAGCGTGGTGCAGTTATAAGTAATGATTATCTTTTTAATCACGCCTATTACCTATACTAATTTTCACGCCACCTCTTCATCATACCAACCCATGATCTCCACGTATCACACTTCTATTCGGTGGATGCTTAAACTTCCCCATTATAAAACGTCAACTTAATCTTCTTCTTTTCTTTTCACACTCTAAACCTTTCATACTCTGAATTTTTACCCTCCTTCTCTCACAAAACAATCTAAGCTTTCAAACATCTTCCAAAATGTCTTCTTTTACTTCATCCCAACTCAAGAAAGTCTCCAAGAAGAAAGGAAAAACTACAGGAGCTACCATGGAGAGTAAAATCATCACCATTCAAGGCCAATCTGCTCTTGCTCCTCAAATGATTTCCAAAGAAAAAGAAATGTTGTACGCATCACAGGTACTCATTCCTACCCACGTTGCTGGTAAGAGGTTAGCCTTAAATGGCCCTCTTACAGTTTTTGAAATATTAAAGGACACCAGGACAATTTTTCCCGTCTGTTATAGCTTCAAACCCTTATTCAACAAAATGGATGCCCCTAGGGCAGTAGAGTCTCCTAGTTCAAACGCTGTAGAAACCCCAACCGTTCC